AATTCCAGGAATTCTCACTACTTAATCCTACGTTAAATCCTTTCAGATATACATCAATAACTCCCAAACTTATTAGTTTCTAATTAAATGGCACTGGCTACTGTCATAAGCACAGCATTTCTCAACTCCTCACTGAAACAGCTCTGGAGAAGGGGAAAAGCTTATTGCATATTGAGCTTTCACTATGTCACTAACAGCTGGTTTATAGGGAGAACCTGGGAAGGACTTCTAGGAGTAATGCAGGCTGAAGGAATAGACTGAAGAAATGCAATGGCCCGTGCATGCATTTCTACTCACCTGAAGGAATACAGGAAGAGAGCACTTCCATTCTGCCTCACACACACACACACATACACACACACGCATGTGTATACACCTCCCACGCACACACATGCACACACACACACATTTGCTTAGAATGGTAATAAAAATAACTAATAGTAGGTTTATTTTAAAATTTTCCAGCTTTATGGATGTATGATTGACAAGTAAAAACAGTATATATTTAAGGTACACATCACATTGTATACATTATAAAATGATTACCACAACTGACATACTCAGACAGAAACTCTGCAGCTGAGGACTGCAGTGAATAAAAATAAAAATGCAATGGAGAAATTCAGCATCAGAACTGATCAATCAGAAAAAAGAATCTGTGAGTAGAAGAAAGGACCTTTGAAATTATCCAGTCAGAGGAGGACTTAGAAAGAATAAAAATGAGTATAGGAAGCCTATGTGAACATTGGGATATCATATAAAGAAATAATTTGTGAATTATTGCAGCCCCAGAAGAAGAAGAGAGGGGAGGGGACAGAAAGCTTATTTTTTTTAATTTAATGTGGTTTTGGGTTTTTTTCTTTTTTTTATTTTAATCATTGTTCAAGTACCATTTTCTCCCTTTTACTCCCAATCCAACCCACCCCCAACCCTCCCCACTTCCCTCCCATTACCACCCTCCCCCTACTTTTTGTCCATGTGTCCTTTAAATTTGTTCCTGTGAACCCTACCCATTGTCCCCTGAAATTCCCTCTTCTCTCCCCTGTGGTCACTGTCAGCCTGTTCTCTATTTCAGTGTCTTTGGTTATATTTTGCTTGTTTCTTTGTTTTGTTGTTTAGGTTCCTATTAAAGGTGAGATCATATGGTCTTTGTCTTTCACTGCCTGGCTTGTTTCGCTTAGCCTAATGCTTTCGAGCTCCATCTAAGCTGTTGCAAAGGGTAGGAGCTCCTTCTTTCTTTCTGCTGCATAGAATTCCATTGTGTAAATGTACCATAGTTTTTTGATCCATTCATTTACCAATGGGCATCTAGGTTGCTTCCAGCACCTAGCTATTATAAATTGTGCTGCTATGAACATCGGGGTGCATAGGTTCTTTTGTATCGGTGTTTTGGTGTTCTTAGGATATAGTCCCAGCAGTGGAATTGCTGGGTCGAAAGGCAGATTCATTTTTAGTTTTCTTAGGAAGTTCCATACTGCTTTCCATAGTGGTTGTACCAGTCTGCAGTCTCACCAACAGTGCACTAGGGTCCCCTTTTCTCCACAGCCTCTCCAACACTTCTTGTTTGTTGCTTTGTTTATGATGGCCATTCTGACTGGTGTGAAGTGGTATCTCATTGTGGTTTTAATTTTCATCTCTCTGATAGCTAGCAATATTGAGCGTTTCATGTATCTTTGGATTTTCTGTATATCCTCATTGGAGAAGTGTCTGTTCAAGTCCTTTGCCCATTTTTTAATTGGGTTGCTTGTCTTCTTAGAGTGGAGTCATGTAAGTTCTTTATATATTTTAGAGATTAAATCCTTGTCTGACGTATAATTGGCAAATATGTTTTCCCATACAGTTGGTTCTCTTTTAATTTTCATACTGTTTTCTTTAGCTGTGCAGAAGCTTTTTATTTTGATGAGGTCCCATTTGTTTATTCTTTCCTTTATGTCCCTTGCTCTAGGGGACATGTCAGTAAAAAAAGTTTCTGTGTGAAATATCTGAGATTTTCCTACCTACGTTCTCCTCTAGGACTTTAATGGTGTCACGTGTTATATTTAAGTCTTTTATCTGCCTTGAATTTATTTTTGTGTAAGGTGTAAGTTGGTGCTCGAGTTTCATTTTTTTGGACGTAGCTGTCCAGTTCTCCCAACACCATTTGTTGAAGAGGCTATTTTTACTCCATTTTATGTTGCTGCTTCCTTTGTGAAATATTAATTGACTGTAGAGACTTGGGTTTATTTCTGGGCTCTTAGTTCTGTTCCATTGGTCCATGTGCCTGTTTTTATGCCAGTACCAGGCTGTTTTGATTACAGTGGCCTTGTAGTAGAGTTTAGTGTCAGGTATTGTGATCCCTCCTACTTTACTCTTCTTTCTCAAAATTGCAGCAGCTATTTGGGGGTCGTTTATGATTCCATATAAATTTTTGAAGTGTTTGTTCTATGTCTGTGAAATAAGCCATTGGTACTTTAATAGGTATTGCATTGAATGTGTAAATTGAAAGCTTATTTTTAAAAGTAATGACTGCATATTTCCCAAATCTGGGGGCATATTTGGACATCCAAGTCCATGAACTTAATAGATCACCCTCAAAATGTCCATACAAATATATCCTCTCCAAAACCATTATAATATAATTGTTTAAAAACAGCCCTGGCTGGCGTAGCTCAGTGGATTGAGTGTGGGCTGCGAACCAAAGTGTCGCAGGTTCAATTCCCAGCCAGGGTACATGCCTGGGTTGCAGGCCATAAGCCCCAGCAACCACACATTGATGTTTCTCTCTCTCTCTCCCTATCTCCCTGCCTTCCACTCTAAAAATAAATAAATAAAATCTTTTAAAAAAAAGAAAATAAATCTCTTTAAAAAAAAAACAAAGAGAAATTTAAAAGCAGCAAAACAAATTCCCTCATACAAGGGACCTCCATAAGGCTATCAGCAGATTTCTCAGAAGAAACCTCCCAGGTGGGATGATCTATTCAAAGTGCTAAAGAAAAAAAATGACTCCAAAAATACTTTACCCAGCAAAGTTGTTCTTTGAAATGAAGCCAAGATAAAGACTTCCCCCAACAAACAAGCCAACAGTGTTCATCGCCACTAGACTGGCCTTACACGGGAGTCAAACTCATTTTCACCGGGGGCCACAGCAGCCTCATGGTTGCTTTCAAAGGGCCAAATGTAACTTTAGGGCTGTATAAATGTAACTACTCCTTAACTAGGGGCAAGGAGCTTGGGGCTGACACCAGGTAGAAACAAGGTGCTGGGCAGGATAAAACAAGGTGGAGGCCAGATTCAGCCCACCTGTGCCTTAGAAGAAACCCTGAGAGAAGTTCTTCAAAGCTAAAATAAAAGGATGCTGATTAGCAGTATAAAGACATGTGATAATAGAATGGTGGTTGCCAGAAGCTGGGGGCTGGGGAAGGTGGGGATGCATTCATCAAAGAGTGCAAACTCCACTTGTGAATGAATCAGTTTGGGGTGATTATAGTTACTGCTACTGCCTCACAGACTTGAAAGTTGCTAAGAGAATAACTCTCCACTAAAGGACGCAAAAGAAGACATCGGCAAATGGAAAGAAAAACCCTAGTTTTGCATGGGGAGGCCCACCATTAAGATGTTGATTCTTTCTAAATACACTTATAAACGTAATGTGGTATCCATCAAAACAAGTTCTTGCAGGGTGGGGGTGCGACAGAACAGGAAGAGAAGTTGGACTAAACCCAAAGTTTCTGTGAGGAAGGAATCCCCAGGAGGCCTTTGAAAAAGAGGAGAATGTGAAGGGACCAGCCCATCCGGAAAAGTTTAAAAACATGACTTAAGGCTAATAAATATTAAAACACCCCACCTCACTCAAAAAAAAATGTAAATGAAACAAGATGTCTATCTAATTTGCAAAATATTTTAACTTTATATTTTGAAATAATTTTGACTTACAAGAAAGTTGCAATAATAACACAAAGAAATCCTATAAATCCTTAATTCAAATTGTCCAAATATTAATGTTTTTCTACATTTTCTTTATCATTCATTCTCTCAATACATAGACAGATAGAATTTTTTCTGAAATGTTTGAAATTTGACGACATAATCCCCATTTCCCTTTAGATACCTCAGTAAGTAATTCCCCACTCCAAGGACGTTCTCTGACATAAACACACTACAATTGTCAAAATCAGAAAATTAACTTGGACACAACTCCATTATTCTCATCTATAGCTCTTCTGCCCACTGATGACCTCCACCTAGTACAGGATTCAGTCAAGGATCACAGGTAGTGTTTGATTATCATCTATCTGTAAAAAAAAAAAATCTTCTATTTCTTTGTGTTGATACTTTTGAAGAAGGCTGTTAGCAACTTTGTACAATGTTCTACCTTTGGGTTTTGCCTGACACTTTCTCATGACCAGCCTCAGGTTAGGTATCTTTGGTGGGAGGGACACATTCACGATCCCCCGTGCCTCTCCCGTCTCAATACTGACGATGTTAAGTTTGAGCAGCTACTGAAGGAAGTGCCTCCCAGGTTTCAATAGTGAGCTACATTTTGGCTTTTGCAATTAATAAGTATCTTGCAGGGAGATACTTTGAGACTATGTAAAATCGTATTTCTTATCCGGAAAAGGCTTAATGATATTGTTCAATTCCATCAAGAGCACTTTCACATGGACAGTTAGTTATTACAATCTCTCTAAGAATCAATTTAACACTATGCATCAAAATTGCTATACCTTGTAACACAGTGAATTTACTATAGCAAATGAGTCTAAGAAAAAATCAGAAGTGTGAAGATTTCTATTCAAGAATACTTCCTGCAATGTTATTTATACTAGTAAAAAAAAATAGAAATGATCTGACAGGAATTGGCTAATTATAGTACATAAATCCCTCAGAGGGAATAGTTCACAAGTGATTACAATAAAGTTTTTGAAGATGAGGACCAGTTAGAATAACTCTAGAATGAACAAGTCCTGTGAACTCCCCTTCATCCCTTCTAAGCCCCCAGGACGAGTGCTAAGACACAACCTCTACTTCCAGTCCTGTCTCATGGTCCTCACCCACAGCCTTTTCATGGCCTTCTTCACTTCAGCGTTTCTCAGGGAGTAGATGAGAGGGTTGAGGAGAGGTGTGATCACTGTGTAGAATATGGCCACCACCTTGTCCACAGGCAGGGTGGCAGAAGGCCTCAGGTAGATGAAGATGCAGGGCCCAAAGAACAAGATCACCACGGTGATGTGTGACGCACAGGTGGAGAGGGCCTTGCGCCGCCCCTCGGAGCTCCGGGTCCTCAGGTGCAGCAGGATGACCACATAGGAGGTCAAGAGGATCAGAAAACAGAACACAGACAGGGTCCCCCCATTAACAACAATCAGCAGGCCAATGAGGAAGGTGTCAGAGCAGGCGAGTTTGAGCAAGGGAAGCAGGTCACAGAAATAGTGGTCGATCACGTTGGGGCCACAGAAAGGCAAGCGGAAGGTGAGCAGGATTTGGGCAAAGGAATGCACAAAGCCCCCCAGCCATGCTATCCCCACCAGGACAGCACACGCCTGCCGGTTCATGATGGTGGTGTAGTTGAGGGGTTTGCAGATGGCCACGTAGCGGTCATAGGCCATCACGGTGAGCAGGAAAATCTCAGTGCCACCAAAGAAGTGGATGAAGAAAAGCTGTGTCATGCAGCCCCACAGGGATATGGCTTTCCTTTCAGCCAGCAAATCTGAGATGAGTTTGGGGGCCGTCGTGGAGGCGTAGCAGATCTCCACGAAGGACAGGTAGCTGAGGAAGAAGTACATGGGGGAACGAAGACTTCTGCTGGCTAAGACAATGAGCACGATGAGGAAATTCCCCAGCACGATTGCTGTGTACAAGAGCAGAAATATCACAAAGCAAACTTTCTGCACGTCCTGATTAGGAGAAAGTCCCAGAAAAATGAATTCAGTCACATTATGTGTGTTAGCCATGAAGTCTCCACCAGGAGGCGGTAATTGGGATGGGTGATCTGAAATGATAGGAAACAAAAGAGTCTTTTGTTAAGTGGGTGAATTATAAAATAATCCCTTGCGTACCTGGAAAGCTTGTGCGCTAATACTGAGAGAGGAGTAGGAGTTCGTTTTGCGTAGAAGAAGGGAAAAGCACTCCACAAAGGCAGAAAAGCATACAAAGCTATGAAATGCATTCCTGTGTGGTTGGAGTAAAGGGAAGAATGACAAAGACAGAGCTGGAAACAGTCTCGTACCTGTTCACAGAGGACCGTTATGATGGACTTTGGGGTTTATCCTGCAGACTCTGGGGAACCATCAGGAATGTTAGTAACTGGAGAGTAGAATCAGCTTGAAAGCAGAGGTCAGGCTAGCAGAAAGAGACACAGGAGGAGAGAAACGCTAGGATGCGAAAGCCTCGCTGGATGTTGTGTGGCAGCAAAGTGAGGGCTGCTGTCTCATGTTAGCCGTCTCTCTACCACCTCTGATCCCTTTGTCCCTCGCCCGCAACTTTCCTGCATCCCACCTCCGTTGGCTCCCTTTCCACCCTCGGTTTGCAGTCTTCAGAAGAGCTGTCCCCTGCACTCAGTACCCCCTCTTATTTTTGCTTTCTCCTCCTAATTCTCTCATTCCACAGCTGGTCCCTGGTGATCTTGTCCCTTTCCAAGGATCCAACTCAGTGCATGCACAATTCTTCTCCTTACTGATACCCACATTTCCTTCAGTCACGCCCGCCCTCCCCCAGCGGCAGCAGAAATACAAACCACCCCTCAGAGCTGGCGCTGAGGGCCCGCCACGCTCTGCAGTCCAGCCTCCAACACCTCAGGGCATCACCAGGAATGTGCACTGACTGGTTTGCAGACCTTCCTGGTTTGTGTCTGTGCGTATCAAACAGCCACTTGTACAGAGAGACTCCAGAACCCCTGAGACTAAGAGCTGCATGACATGCCCCAAAGCTTCCTCCCATCAACAGTGGGGACAGACTCAGGTCATTAAGGACTGCCCGGAGCCAGAAGGGAATGAAGCCCTGAGAGTTTACAACCACGGAGACAAAGGGAGGGCCAAGACCAGCCCTGGAGGCTCAGATCAGCTGGTGAAATGTACCTAGAAGCCTGTTCTTGGAAGAAAGCACCTGCCAGCATCATTTTAGCTCCTGGATTCACATTCAGGTTTCTTTAGGGGGGATCTACGTGATGTCAAGAAAGTCCTTTAACTGATCAGAGACTCCAGGTCCAAACCCTAGCACAGAGGTGATACCTACATCACAGGGAGATGCCATACACCGCACTCGGAGCCCATCCCAGGAGAACTTCCATTTCCCTCCTCCCTGCTGCCTTGGGCCCCTCTCAGACACAGAGGCTCCGTCTCCACAATGCGTACAGCCCCACCCTCTCTCAGGACAGTTCGGAACCACAGTGATTTTCACACTGAACTCTACTTGTTTTATGTGCCCATCTATCCCCACTAAACTCGGAACTTCCTGAGGGCAGAGCTTGTATCTTGCTACAGTTCTATCTCCAAGGCTTACTTAAATGCCTCCACGAAATGGCGTTCAGTGACTGTACACAGAATCAGTGAAGAGTAGGTGTAGATGTTCCCTAGCCTTCTTAGCACGGTCTTTGGGACATTGTAGGTGTTCGGTATAAACTGAAGGAACAAAGGTCCCCAAACACTGAGACCCCAGCCTCTCCATCCCCGATTCCCATTCCCAGTATCACACCTGCCCCCGTCCAAGACCAGAGGTCAGGAGAGCACTTTTTAAAAGTCATGCGCTTCAAAGTGGAATTGTAATCATCATGCAAAAGAAGAAAAGAAAGAAAACAAAGTCCAGGCTCCTGAAACAAAACCACCCCAGGGTATCTGTGGCTTTGCTGTTTTCAGCCACAGAGATGCAAATAACACCCTGAGAACAGCGCTCAGCTGGAGCAGTTTCCCTGTCAGCCGGCGGGCGGAAAGCACTACCTCTGGGAGCTGCCAGGTGAAGTCTGCTCCACCTGCAGCCTCGGGCTTGGGAATGCTGAGACTGAGCCACGGCCTCTCCCTTCCACCTGGTTTAAAAACAGGAACAAAGCAGACTTGCCTCCCAAGTGTTCCACAGGGAAATAAGAACTCCGGCAGCTCGGCCTTGGGTTCACACCGCCTGACGCAGGCGGGGGCAGAGCGCATGGCCATAAAGAGAGTGGTCCCCAGAGAGCCGTCCCTCTCCCCTTCCCAGCCAGGCAGACACCCTCATGGGAAGCAAGCCCTGGTTACAGAAATCCCAAACTTCCAAACTTCCTTGTAGGCAATACAACTTCAGAAATCAATAGGAAACGTGGAAAAATTAACCCCACCCAGTATTTCCAGGGCACGGACTCTGGTTGGGACTCTGTGCTGTTTGGAGGTCAATTAAATATGGCTCCTGCTTATGGGCTCAGTCACAGGCCTTCGCATGAAATGACACATTCAGAGGATGGGTCCGAGGGCCCCAGGCCTCAAGTGTCCATAAGGGTAGAAGTCAGTGGTTCTCAACAGTGAGTCATGTGGTCCCCTAGAAGACATTCAGCACTATCTGGAGACATTTGTCATTGTCACAACCTGGGTGGGGCAAGGGTGCCTCTGGTGTGTAGTGGGTAGGAGGCAAGGATGCTATAAAATGTGCCACAATGCACAGAACAGGCCCCACAGCAAAGACTTATCGGACCCAGAATCAATACTACTGCTGTCCAAACTACATGCTATTGATGAAAGAAATTTCACCCGAAATCGATCATTATTGAAACTGAGTGTGAGTTATAGGGGCGTTCGTTTCCACGCTCTGACCACAACTGTGTATGTATTAGAATTTTGTATAATAAAAGGTTTACAGCCCTGGCTGGTGTGGTTCAGTGAATTGAGGGCCAGCCTGTGAACCAAAGGGTCACTGGTTCGATTCCCAGTCAGGGCCCATGCCTGCGCTGAGGGCCAGGTCCCCAGTAGGGGGTGTGCTAGAGGCAACCACACATTGCTGTTTCCCTGTCTTTCTCCTTCCCTTCCCCTCTCTAAAAATAAATAAATAAATAAATAAATAAATAAATAAAATTTTAAAGGCGTACAAATGCTGTAACTGCACTATGTGAGACCCATGTGCTCCACACCCGTCTCACCAGCAATGCCATTAACTCAGCCTTGATTGAAGTCAGAGTTGAAACAAAACACCAAGTTTCAACTAACAGTTAACAAGAAAATTTAATAGGACATTGTAATACTTTAAACGGTTTTAATATCATTGCTTTTGAGAATACAAACACTGAATTAACCATTATTCTTTACATAGGAAGAAACACAAGTAAGATTAGCAAATAATTACATAAAAGCTCCAAATATTTAAGTAAAACATATATTTATTCTGTTACATGCCATAAATTTTTATTTATTTTTTATTTCATCTTCATTTTTTCCATTTGCATTTAGCCCCCTTATACCTCCTCCCCTCCAGCAATCACCACACTGCTGACAATGTCCATGAGTCCTTTTTCCTCTTCACCCAGTCCCCGCACCCTCTAACTTCCCCTCTCTCCCAGCTGTCATCCTGCCCTTCCTCTGAGTCTGTCCCTATTTTCCTTGTTAGTTCATTTTGTTCATTAGATTCTACACAGGAGTGAAATCTGTTTGTCTTTCCCTGACTGGCTTATTTCACTTAGTATAATGTTCTCCAGGTCCATCCATACTATAGCAAAAGGCAACATTTTCTTCTTTTTTATGGCTGAGTAGTATTCCATTGTGTAAATGTCCCATTGTTCTTTTATTCCTCATCCACTGACAGACACTCAGGCTGCTTCCATATATTGGCGATTGTAATTAACACTGCAGTGAACACAGGGGTGCTTACGTTCTTTTGAATTAGTGTTTTGGGTTCCTTTAGATATAGTCCCAGAAGTGGGATCACTGGGTCAAAAGCAAATCCATTTTTAATTTTTTGAGGAAACTCCATACTGTTTTCCACAGTGGCTGCACCAGTCTGCATTCCCACCAACAGTGCAGAAGAGTTCCCCTGTCTCTACGTCTGCACCAGCACTTGTTGTTTGTTGATTTATTGATGGTGGCCATTCTGGTAGGTGTGACATGATATCTCATTGTGGTTTTAATTTGCATTTCTCTGATGATTAGTAAATGTTGAGCATCTGTCATAAATTTTTTAAATGCTTGAATCTACACTTTGAAAGGGTCCATTATGTACCAGGAAAAAAATGACCCAGGACAATCAATCCCAAGCTATGGTCTAGTACAACTACTAGACATTCAAGATGGGCCCCCAAAACTCCTAACTCTGAATGCCAACAGGCCTTGAATCCATGAGATGCCCAAGACTATAGAAAACTAAGAAACAGTCCTTAACGGGCTTATAAAGACTCACTGTGGCTCTCCCCGCAAGACTTGACCAGAGGGAGCAGACAGAAATGCCCACTCAGATCTCTCCCTGAGAGAGGCTGATTTGCATAGCCAAGGATGGAGCTTCTAATTCAGCACTGCTAGGGGCTGACTGTAATCCCCCCTGGAGACTGGGGAGGCCAGTGGGCAGCCGGCAGCTCCCTATTCTCCCTCTGGCCCACTCCAGGTCACCACTGAGTCTCTGGCAGGAGCTTGTACCCACATCTGGTACCCCAGCTTTTGTGGCTGCTTCCCAGAGGGTCTGCCTCTCAATCACCTGTGGCTCTAGTGGCCAGCAAGGCTTGCATGCACTGGTCCCACAAAACCATAGGAAACAAGGAATGCGTCTTAACCATCCCCTCCCCCCAGGCTCAGCACAGACAGAGCAGCCAGATATACCCACCTCCCAGCCTTTCCCAGAAAGAGGCCTATTTCCATATTTTACCAACTGCTTCCTGAGGGCCCAGCTATCAGTCACATGTTCAAGCTCTAATCTGCAACGTTACAGTAGCGGGAGACAGCGCCTTTGGGATGCCGTTAGGGTTAGGTGGGTTCATGAGGGTGGGATCCTCATAATGGCATTAATAGCTTTA